ATCTTTGCATTACATAATCCGAAAATGAATGTATGAGTAAGTGCCAGCCCATGGCTAGGTGTCATTCTCTGAGCATTGTCCCTGTAAGAGGTGGCCTGGCCCTCCGGCTGGCCTGCAGCCTGGCCGGGTGGCAGCGAGCGCAACGGACCTACCTGCTCAGGCAGGTGGCAGCCGGCGGCTGGGCCCGCAGCGGACGCGCTGCCTTCGGAAGGTGCTGCCCGGCTGTGCGGCTGGAGCCGCTGCTGCGCTGGCACAGGCCAGGTGACATAGACAGGGTGACGCAAACATCCAAATCTGAAAAAGATAAGCTGATAATAAATCTTTCTGACACGAGTTAACAGTCTATTATTGAGAGCTATAAGTGGGAGGTGCTTTTATTCTAAACCAGCATCAGGAAGCTAGCAGTGAGCAAGCTAAATGGAGAAGGTAAATATTACCATTACTTTAAAAATAATCTCAAACATGGGCCACCAGTACCCACAGTCATGGATGTTAACAGCATATAAATTAAAGCACCTGTCATTAAAACTGCCTTAATTGTTGGTTGATTTGAAAGGAAACTAGTCCGGTATTAGACATCTATACGAAGGAAATAACTAGCACTAAAAAAATCATTCCTTTTCAAAACAGATGACTTGTACCACCAAAGGAATATTTCTAAAAAGGAGAATGTTCTAGACTCAACAACATCTTATAGTTAGAAAATAATTTAAAGCAGTGGCTTTCAAGCTTTTTTAACCACTAGGAAGAAATTCATTTTATATTATGATTCAATATACATATAGGTACGCATCCATAACAGAGCAAATGGTTTCATTAAAAATACTCTTACCTCATTCAATGAATTCACTCTGATATTTTCTATTTTATTTTATTTAATTAGTGGGATTTACACCCCATAATGTTTACTAAACCCAATTAGGAAAACACTGCTTTTGAATCATATGATCACACATACAGTCTATCAATTTTTTAAATTCCTATATATAAAACTTCCAAAATGACCTATTATACATGGAGCCAGGGCCTTCAATAAAGCAAACTGGATAGCTATACAAGTGTGGTTTCTCATCTACTTCTGTCTCTTGTTCTGCCACCGTAAATCGTAAGACCATTATGATACATTGATTATTGGTTCCAGTTCTTCACTCTCCTAGCATCTTCACCTTTGTCTTTTTGCTTCATTGGGAGTGAGAGGTGTGTCCCTGTCCTTTGAACTTGATCTTGCCATTCGACTTGTGTTGGCCAACAGAATGTAGGCAGAAAACAAGGGTGTCAGTCCAAGCCTGGTCATTAGGACGACTCACATGTTTATGAATGTCCTCTGTGCCATCCTCGTGAGAACATATCCCAGCAAAGCCCACTTGCAAAGAGGTTGAGAGGCATGTGGAACAGACTGAGGCAAAAGATACACAGCACCTGGCAGAGCTATCCTAGCTTCCTGTACAGATTCATGAGCATAAATTGCTGTTATTCTAAGTTACTGGGTTTTGGGGTAGTTTGTTACACAGCATTTTCATGGCAGCACCTACCTGGATTAACTGTATTTCTGAAAGAAGCCCTTCAGATCTATTACCCTGTTCTGCTTCGGAGTAACACTGCCACAAGGGAAACATTGACACCACACAGCAGTCACCTGTGATCTAAATAGCTGTTAACAAAAGCTGCAATAGCAGAAACAAACAAACAAAAGCAAAAAATAAAAACTATACTTTAATAAGTGGAGTTGACCTTTTACTGGATGTTCTGGTTGGTTCTAGAAATAACATCCAAGTTCACTTCTTATTAAAAGTACATAGAAAATATCATTCATCTTTCTGAAAATGAGCCTACAGTGTGCCTGAATCATGCAAAGAGGGTCAAACGTGCAAGGAGGGGGAAGGGGGGAAGGGAAGAGAGGACCGGAAGGGCCAACAACTTTCCTAAACCTGCAACCAGGCACTGGGCTGAAGCGTTACATAAAATCTCCAGTTTATTCACATAAGGACTCTAAATAATGGATACTATTTTTATCATTGCTTTACAAAGAAAGAAACACTGAGAATTAGGTGTTAAGTTACTACTGAGGGGCAGCAGTAGACTTGGATTCTAGATTTGTCTGACTCTAGAATTCCAAGCTTCTAACAACTAAAAGAACTCAGAAAAAAAAAAAGTCAAAATGAAGTGTTTCCTTTCTTTATAGCTGATTTTCCCCCATGGACCCTCCAAACAGCTGGATAGGAGAAATGAGGAAACTACTTTAATGACAACTTAACATCCATCTATACATAGGTGACCAGGGGAATTTTATTTATTATAAGCTAAGCAAATGAGATAACATATTAATAGTAATTTTAAAACATCCTAAAATTAGTATTTGTAATTGTCTTAATCACTAAAATTATTATAGTATATTTTTATCAATAATCTCTAAAGATAACTTTTACATTCAGTTAAAATCAAATTTTATATGTACTTAGGGAAATTTTCAGGCTATTAGATTTTATTTTCTTGCTACAATGCTTTTATAACCTAACTCTGCATCTAGAACTAAACACACACAATGACAAGCTTTTCAATTAATTTTTACTCATATTGTGATAGCAAATAAACCCTCAGTTAATTGTCTTTGATAGAGCAAGATGAAATTTTATCATAAAAAGAAAAGAATCAGCTGGTTCACAATCAATTTCAGTTAATCAACATTGTAATCTGTTAAAACAGTATTTTGTGATACTCATATTTTCATAACTCAATTCAAAGTTTATACAGTCAACATGTCTACAAAAAACATTGCCCAAACATTAACTACTTATCAGATAATCTACCACCATGCAGACAGGTGGGCCTTACTTGCTTTGGCAGGAGTTCAAAGTTTCTAGAAGGTTTCGTGGCTAACTAGCTATTTACCCTGATAATCGCTCTTGCTGTATTCTGGTGGCTGGACCACCATATGGAACTGATTTCACTATAGATAGATTAAAAGAGTTTACTCTTCTCTTGAGACATTTTCATTGATCCTTCTAAATTTACCTCCTAAGTCTGAAATTTCCCCACTTTTTATGGTGACAATCTTCTCCCAATATCTCAAGGAAAATTTTTATTCTCTATACCACGTCAACAGATATGATCAATTAAGCTCAATCTTTGTTCCAGAATGGATATATATTTTAATATTAAGCATTTACTTTCCCCTTAGCCCTCACTCTGCATTCTACCAGTCTGTGGCTAGTAAAGCTACAAGATTAACTATAAGGAATGTGACATATTGCCCTTACAAAGGTAATGATGCAATTAAAATCTGGCTTTAATAATCATTGGCTGGTACATGAGGCTGACAACCAAGTAATGGGGCAGGAGGTAAGGAGTGTAATGTAACTATAGATTAGGGAATAAAGGAATTATAAATAGCAGACCTGGTGACGCATGGCAGACATTAATCATTTATTGACTGTTTTCTATTTGCTAAAGTTGAGGAGGAATGTAAGATAAATTCCTCTAAGGAACTTACTTTTAGTGATAGACATTACCAGTGCTAACCAATGCTTATGGCTCTCTTCCCTTGCCTGGATGTGAAGGGAAATTACACTTCCTACCCATTTAAATTTGTCATGGCCAAATGACTTGCTTTGGCCAACAAAATATGAAAGGAAATATGTATCACTGGATGAAAGCATTTAAGAGCCAGTGTGTAATTTCTCCATATCTTTTTCTCATGCTCAAGAAATTACAGAGCACAAGTTAAGAAAGAGATGACATAAGATGAAAAAAGTCTGGCATTCTGACCTATGAAACGGGATAGCTGCTGTGGAATAGACTCTAAATTCATACTATAGTACAGTGAAAGAATACATACATTTCAAGAAAAGGCAGACAGATATTTTATCGCAGCTTAACCACTAATTATTGACTGACCTTGAAATATTACTTAGCTTCTTTAAGCCTCAATGTTATCCTTTTAAAATGAAGGTAATGACGCTTGTTTAATAGGATTATTTTGCATAAGAAAGTACCTATTTTGAAATACATGTTACATGTAGCAAAAGAAAAGGAAGATGATCTTGTTTTACAATGATATAGTAAATATATATATTTACTGATATCTAGCACCCAAAAGGACCTGAAATGATCCTCACCTCCTGGTATTCTCGTCTTGTGTGACCCTCTCCCACACAGAGCCACACTGTTGGTCTGTGTGACTAACAGCATGTGGCAGTAGTGATGTCACGTCCAAGATTAGATGTCAGCTTCCATCTTAGGCTACTTCCGTTTCTCCCTCTATCTCTAGCTCTATCTTTATTTCCATCTCCATCTCCATCTCCTCACTCACTCAAGGCCAGCTGCCTTTTTGCAAACACTTTCTGGCAGACTATGGAGAGGCCCATGTGGCAAGAACAAAGGCCTTCAGCCAACTTCCAGCAAGGAACGGAGCCTGTCGACAACCACGAGTGAGCTTAGCAGCAGAGTCCAGCCTTAGAGCCTTGAGGATTGCTGCCCCGTTGACAGATTACTTATAACTTCAAGAAAAACTCTAAGCCAGAAAATGCTGCCAAACCACTCCCAGATCCTGACTCTCAGAAACTATGTAAAATGTAAAATAACATTTATTGCTTTAAGCTGTTAAATTTGGGAGTAATTTATTATGGCGCAATTTGTCAATATTTAGAAGAAAAGCAGCACATAGGGTTTTTTGAAGCATTTAATATTTTAAACTTATCACTGATAAATTAGCATGTTTGATGGTGTTGAAGGCTTGCCATTGATGATTCCTGTTCCTAAGTACACAAGGGAGAGAGAAACATAGATGTGAGAGATACACACCAGTTGGTTGCCTCTCGCAAGCCCAGGAATTGAACCTGCAACAGAGGTATGTGCCCTTGGCCAGAATCAAACCCAGGACCCTTCAGTCCATGGGCTGATGCTCTAACCACTGAGTCAAACAGCTAAAGGCCATATGGAGTTTTCTTATTTTCTAATAGTTTTTTTAAAAAGCCAGTCAATGTCACTCAAGACCAGAAAATGAAATTTATTCAAATATTTATTGGATGATACAGTATTTTTTAGGAAAAGCATCTGCCACAAAAAAAGTTTATTTCCATATGAGGTATTGCTGCTATGGATGACTGCCGCAAGTGCCTTGCTCTCCTTTACAGAAAGTCATAATCTGTGCAGTGTGAGGTTGACATCAGGGCTATGTGGATATTCTATCAGTTGAGACATGTTTTGACTTAAAAGATGTTCTTTGCTTCTCCAAGCTGTGAAAAGAGATTCTGCTGTTACTGAAGAACATGCAATGCCAGATTAAATACATAATTTCACCAATATGACTTGCTGTTCTTCTAACTCCAGAGGCTGTTTAATGATCTGGTGGTTTCATGTCAACTCATCAGCAATGCTTCTATAAGTCTACCTAGTTGGGTCCTGGGGCACCAGACTAGCTGGATATTCTTACTAGGTAACCACTTTGTCCAAGCTTTAGATTATAGTGAAAAAAAAAAAGGGGATTGGAATTTGTATTAGCTTGCTAGGGTTGACATAATAAAATACTGGAGACTGGTTATTTTCTTATCATTCCAGCGGCTAGAAATTGAAAACCGAAGTGACAGCAGGGCTGATTCCTTCCGAGAGCCTCTCTCCTTGGCTTGTAGATGGCCATCTTCCTCTGTGTCTTCACGGGGTTTCCCCTCTGTGCAGGTCTGTGCCCTAACCTTTTCTTATGATAACATAAACCACATTAGATTCTGGCTCACCCTAAATGACCTTTTACCTCCTTAAAGACTATCTCCAAATGCAGTCACATTCTCAGGTCTGGAGTTAAGACATTAAGAATCCGGGGTGGGGAGCAATACAGAAGAAAACTGAAATTATTTAGGCAAGTAACTAACAAAGCAAACAAAATCACAGAAACTTTAAAGCAGAACTGTATTGGACATGTGTTGTAATAAAAGTGGTAACAGATTCAGAACTGTTTTAAGTTATAAGGCTAATAGCAGCAGAACATTTAAACATAGAGACTTTCTCCATGGAACCTGGAGGTGAATATCACTGGGGGACATCTCAGAAGCTGGCTACCAACACATATGCCTCTGTGTGTATGCGTGTCTTACATGGTCATGAAGTTAGTAACATAAGTTGTAATCTTTAAAGGAGGAAGTGTCAAAATTGCTCTCTGGATGATTTGAATTCATCAAGGTATAAAAAAATAAATTTAAGAATTGTGTTTGAGCATTGGTCTTTCTTGGAATTGTGTTGTTTGTACCAAAGGAGCATCCCAAATGTTTTAAGCAGGAGAAATTAAAATTACAGTTAAAAAGCACACCAAAACGATCATAAAATACACATATATGCATTTTAAAAAATCCAGAATGAGAGAGTAATCAGAGTTGGGCTTGAGTGTAGTAAATGCCACTTTAAAAAAAGTAAATTGACTGCTGCAATGTTTAAGAAAATTCATTTTAAGAAATGAATTTTAAGTAAATTCATTCTAAGACAAGCTAGTATGTTTGTCATGGGAAAAATATCAGGTAGTATATTTAGATGAGCAGTTCTTAATTGATCTACAGGGAAAATTTGAAAATGAAACTTTGATTTCTCTCAAGAATCTTAGTACGTACCAAATGCAACAAAAGACTTTATGAGGTGATATAACGCAGGAAATAAATACCAATCATGCTTATAAAAATTATGTTCACTTGCTTGGCATATTAGTTTATTTAGTGTATTTGTTCATGTTAATCAAGGTAATTTTGTTATTGTGATATAGTATAAAGCAAATAAAAATATTTTATTTCTCCTGTGTGGAAGAATTATAAGAAAGACACTTAAGGGCAATTTCCCCTGACTTATATTACAGGTTTTCAATACTAAAATCCAATGTTATTTAATGCTTTAGAACAGGAGTCAGCAAACTTTTTCTGTAAAGAACCAAGTAACAAATATTTCTAGCTTTTCTGGCTCTATGGCCTATGCCACAACTACTCAACTCCACCATTGTAGCATGAAAACAACCATCAACAATGCCTAAACAAATGAACGAGGCCATACTCAGTGAAAGTTTAGCAATGGAGACTAAAATTTGAATTTCACATAATTATCATGGTGTCACAAAACCTTCTTTTGATTTCCTTTCTCAACCACTTAAAAACATAAAAGCCTTTCATAGCTCACAGGCCACACAAAAACAAATAACAGACTAGATTAGGCAAATGTCTGCTTTAGCACCACCCTATTAATATGCTTCTAGGCTGACAAGATAAGCAGAGCAGTAAATAGGCAGAACACCAATGAAAAACACAAAAACATGAAGGCCCTCTACAGTTTCTAGATGTAAGTCAGCTGCCCTCTGGGATACTGCAGCGTTAGATACCAGGTCACAGACAATCAGCTGATGTTGAATTCATCAATTTTCTTAATTGAAATATGCTGGGTGGAGGAATCATTGGAAAACATGTGCACTTGAAACAATCAGAGGTGGTATAATTTTAGTAATAAATACACCACAATTGGTTTTGCTGTGACAGTCATATATCACTGTAATACCTAACGCATAAACAGAGCTTTTCATGAGCCAGAAACTTGTCTCAGCACTTTAAGTGTATTAACTTACTTAATCTCACCAAGAAAAAACCCTAAAAGGTTGGTACAAACTGTTATCCTCATTTTATATATTTTATCTTTTTAAAATGTTGTCACTATATATCTGGCCTATATGGTCTGGTATGGTGGTGTTGGTGGTGGTGGTGTCAATAAAAATATATCAGTAATTCAGTTATACCAGAGACTATAGCCACTAATATCAAAAGCCCAGACCCATCCTTCTTTTCTCATCCATCCATCATTTTTAAATTACTCAAAATAAGAGAAAGAAGGTGTAAAAACGTTACCAACTTAATGAGTATACCACAGGTGCTAGAACTATGAGCATTGCTGTCAGTGTGTGTACCATGAGGTCTGATGGAGCACTGGACGTGGGGTCCTTCCCATACACCCTCCCAAACAGGGTCACTGTTAAGACGGGTCCAGACGGTGGCTTCAGGCTAAACAAGCGCCCATCACTTGACACCTAAATTAAAACACAAAGAAGTTGACTGGGTCTGACTTTAAGTTATACAACTCATGACACACTTTTAAAACTCAATACAACTGGGTGAGGGAACAATAAAAATAATGGCCAGATCCTCTTCTATCAGAAATATTTGAATTGATACAGAGTACAAGAAAAATTGGGAGCTATGGAACTGGCACTGACTCATTTATTATTTAAATGCCTATAATCAATATCTTAATTTACTTACCCGAGGAGGCATCACATGAGGTAATAAACATAAAATAATGGATCTAGGAGTGTATAAGAGAGAAATCTAGTCCTCTCAGACAAGATAAAGTCTCCTCCAGTGATCAGAAGGGATTGACTAAGAGAAGTTTGAGCTGAATCTCTATCAACCTTGTCAATCACTCACCTCAGCTCCCCCAACTGCCCACTGTCCCCAACTCCCCACAGTAGCTGTTTCTCTGAAGAGAGAGGAGTGAGAGCACAACTTGCAGGGAAAGTCAGTAGAAAAATGTGGCTGGGCAGAGTGCTTGGGCAGTAAGCATTATTTCTGGCCTCCAAAACAAACAAAAAAAACAAAACCAAAAAAACCTCTTTTGCTTTCTTGCCAGCATCAGCCACTGTCAAATTCTCTCTCCTCAGTTTTTCCCTCTCCCCTTTTCTCCTATGGCCACATGGAGCCTTCACCCACATCATGAGAGGAATTCCTTTTTACTTTCCTAGGACATCCCTGCCCAGTGATGCCAAGGGGCTGCTTCTGGCGGGATTAGTCCTGAAACTCTTCAAATCTTCTTTCTACTCAACAGGTAGAGTCCCCACAATAGTATTTTTCTTTATTCTCAAGGACACACTAATTATTATATGAAGGCTTTCTGGATAAAAAGTGTCCTTCATGAGCCTTAAGGACAATTTTGCCCTTTTCAAATGGAGATTTTTATGATATTTTTAAGCATGTGGGTAGGTTTTATACTCAAAAAGTGCTCCCTCTTACATGAAATAGTTGGCAATAGTAAGCTGAGATTCTTACCTGAAATTCTCCAGGTGCAAGCTGAACGTCACTCAGCAACACCTCAGGAAAGACATACTGGGTCCCAAAAGTGCCACTGAGGGAGAACATCTCATACCTGGTGGAAGCCGTGTCCACTGCGTCGCCACAGGTGTGCAAGCCTGTTGTTTTACACTTCAACAGAGTACAAATCTAGGAGAGCAAAGGCAAACCATTCATTCCTAGGAAAGCCCACTGAAACACTCTCCTGGCCCTGAAAAAATGCCCATGCCCCTTCATTTGGTAAAATAATATCATTCCCTCAATTTGCATTTTTGCCAACACCCAAAGTCAAATCTTCATCCGTGTTCATTTTTTTTTTAAGTTTAATTTTGACACCAGTTTAATCTCTACCTTACTGACTGTGTCACACAATAAAGTAACTTTAAAGTTGTAGTGAACCCTAGAGTTGATCTAGAGATAACCCCTGTGATCTGAAAAAGTCATGTATTTTATTTTTCTATCTGAGCAAGGACAGGTACAGTTCTCACTATACTATACAGCTATTTGAATGTAAAGTCTAATTGTATGTATCATCTTACCATGCAGAGAGAAAGCCTCCAAAATAAAATCTATACATATATATTTTTTAATCTTCACCCGAGGATATGTTTTTATTGATTTGAGAGAGAGAAGAAGGGGGAGAGAGAACCATCGATTGGTTGCCTCCTGTACATGCTTGACAGGGGATGGAACCCGCAACCTTTTTGGTGCACAGAATGATGCTCCAGCCAGCTGAGCAACCTAGCCTGGGCAAGACCTATACCCTTGTAACTCCATCTGTACTGTTACCTTCCAAACCTATTCCAAACCACCTTCAGTTCTTGCCTGACTGAAGGAACAGCCTTCAACTGGTCTCCCTGCTTCTGCTTTTGAATTTAAACAGAAAGCACTTAGGGCAAGCGTGTTAAGATGGGATACAAATAACTTTCTGATCAAGGTAGAATAAATACATGCTTCTTTTTGTTCCCTTGAAATCCTACTAAAACTAACATTAACATTCTTAAAGATATTAATCTAAAAGGCAAGGAGCCCAGGAGGATAGACCATGGCACAGAAGCTGGGATGTTAATGCAAAAGCTGTAACTGAAGCCAAGTCCTGAAGTGGCAGTGAGGAAAGCCAAGGATCAACCCTAACTGCAGTGCGGAACACTCCAGAGTTTCCACTCCTGGGGCACTAGGTGCCTTGCGAGCTGTTCAAGCTGCGGTGGCTAAAGTTAGGGACACTGGTGGGAAGTTGTTAAGGAAGCCTCAGACACTGAGTCCCCACCACGCATGGGCAACTGGCCCTCCCCTACTCCAGGGAAAGACGGGGCATTTATTTCCAGAGAGGGTAAAGCAGGTGGTGTTTGGACAGGGGTTTTAAAACACAGAGTTGAAGGGGATTACATGAATGAACCCTGCTGAACGTTGGGGTCACCTGCCTTTACCACCACCCTACCCTGCGAGGCTATTTCTCCCGCTTGGCTCTCTAAATGCATAGGCGAGGCATTTATCCCCGAGGAAGAGGGCTGCTGGGGAAAACAGCAACAACAGCAACAAAGACGAGACAGGAGTTCCAGGTAAGTGAAGTTCAGATAAATTGGAATTACTAAAAATGGTTTTTAGGATAGGAATGTCCCACATATCACAAGGGACACAACTTATATTTTAAAATACACATTCTTTATTTATCTGAACTTTAAATTTACTTGGTCATCCAGCATTAGAAGGATTTTGAAACTTGAAAACCCTGACCAACCCAAGAGGAAGTCTCTAAAGATACTTACCAGAGGGATTCCCCTAACCAAGGGCCGAGTGAAATCACCCACCCAGCTATGCAGCTTGAAATGGCAAGTATTACCCACATGCTCAGAGCTTCCAGTCAATTTTTCATAATCCTAAAGTGTCACTCTATTTATGAAAAAACTACTAAATTTAGAATTTTAAATTCCAAAACCTGTCTGGTACCAGCGGTTTAGCCAAGGGACCACTGCCCAGAAAAATAACAGAGGGCTTTGTGTACTTGACAGTCCCCAACCCAAGAAGGGACTTGCCACTGCTCTCCTCCAGAGAGCCAAGGCTGGTGGAGGCAGAAAGGCAGGACAAAACTGAGGGGGGAAAGGAGAAAAAGGAGAGAGAGGAAGAGCCAAGAGATGGCTATCTTGTTTTATAACCAACTTTTTTAACTTAAAAAATACATCACAAAAAATTATATCATAAATTTTGAATTTTTTTTTAAATTCTCACCCAAGGACATTTATTCCATTGCTTTTCAGAGAGAGTGGAAGGGAGAGAGAGATAGAGAAAAAAACCCATCAATGCGATAGAGACGCATCAATTGCTTGCCTTCCACCTGCACCCCGACCGGGGCTGGGGATCGAGCCTGCAACTGAGATACGTGCTCTTCACTGGAACTGAACACCGGACCCTTCAGTCCTCAGGCCGATGCTCTAACCACTGAGCAAAACAGGCTAGGACATAATTTTTACCTAAATAATAGCATAAGCTTGTTCGTCATGGCTCCAGAAATTTCCCTGGATCCCTAGATTAGGCTAAGTACATACAGCTCCTTAGTATTTCCACAGCAAAATGTGCTTTCTTTGTTCTATCACATACCAGTCTGTACTGGAATGATCTGTCCACATGTCTTTCTCCCCTACTAGATTCCTCATGAGGGTCTAGACTTATTCATTCTCATATCATTAGCGCAGAATATACACTGGTATGTAGTAGGCACTTGATAATTGTTTGTCAAAATGAGCAAACATTGGTAGAGCGCCTATCACATAGCAAACAAAACGTTACACAGTGGGGGCAGCTCCAGCACTCAAGGGGCCTTCAGTCTAAAAAGAAAGTATGTACATAATGTGCCATGACATGTCTTTGATAAAGTTAAGCATAGGATAGTTAGGGGCACATAAAAGTGGCGCCTGACCCAGTTGGGAGGGGGGAGGGTGCTGCAGGAAGCATCAGGACAGCCTTCCTGGTGAGGACAACGCCTGAAAAGCACCTGACTGATGAGTAGGCGAGGGTGTCACAGATAAAGGAAAGGACCCGTGGAAACACCCAGAGGTTCTGCAGATGCTGGCATATTGGAGATGGGGAATGTCTCAGTATGACAGATGCCAGGGCACATATGGGTAGAAGTGAGAGATGACAACAGAGGCACAGAAGACTTCGAGTGTTTTATGTTAAGGAATTTGATTTGCCAATGAGAAGACAGTGAGAACTTTTCAGCCAGGGAATAAAATAATCAGAAATGGCTTTTAGTTGGATTTTTATAATTATAGTATAAGGAATGGACTGGCCTGGATGGAGCTGAAACTCAGCAGAAAACTCTGTGAAGAGGATATTGCAATAATCCGGGTGAAATAGGATTGGAGGCCAGATCAAGGAAGATAAGACCAGAATGAGAAGAGCAAGAACCCTGATTTTTCTTAGGAGTTTTATCTCATAAGACTATTACAGTTCCTGCTTTATGTGGAAGGGTGTTAGACAGCTGAATCTTTTCAGCAATAAACTGCTTTACTGTATATCTTAGAGATCAACTCCATATGTCTCCATGGCATACTTAGTGTCAAGCTCTTCATACAACAAAATAGGCATTAGTGAACATATAGGGAAAATGGCTCCATTTGTGCAGGCAGGAGATATCAGATGTTCATTATCCATTAAAATAATCTCTAGTGTGATTATTATATCATTTTTAACACTGGTACTGCAAAATAAATGTTCTGCCTTTTTCAAACCTGTTTAAAATCGGACTGACATTTAGAATTGCAAGTTAGCAAATAAAAAAATTTAGGATGCCTAACTAAATTTGAATTTCAGATAAGCAACACATTTTTAATATGCCTATTCCCCAAAGTGGGACATACTTATAAGAAAAACAATTCATTGTTTACCTGAAATTTAAATGTAACTATGTCTTATATTTTATCTGGTAACTCCACTACAACCAAAATAATCATTACCTGTAAATGGTAGCTCCCTTCAACAGTATGGAGTCCATCAAATGCCCCAAGGGCATAAACTTCATCTGCTTTCTTCTCAAACATCTTGTAGCTTAGGTAACAACAGAGATCATTCTGACAAACTGTGTAATTTCCTGCGACTCCTCTGAGCTCCAAGAAGGTGAATTCATCAAAAAAGACAGTGCCCTTGAATTCCTTGTTTCCTCTTGAGAATGCCTCTATACCACTGGCATAGGAAGTCCAATTCACCACGACTGGGTGGTTTGGGTGGGAATCCAGTTGTGAGAGAAGGAGTTTTCCCTCCTCTGTCTTCATATCATAATGAAATGCTCTTGGAGAATCGGGCGCATAGATGCCACTTCCTGGAAGTGAGAAGTTGGCAATGACATTTGAAATTGAAAAGGGATCGTGTAGTTATTATTATTTTAAACTCATATCAACACTTTACAACCTCTAGGTATACATTTTATTAATTTCAGGGCAACATCCTAAGGACAATAGAAATCCAATAGAATAGGACACCAAGAAGCCAAGAAGAGTGTCACGTAGAAGCAGTGAATTTTGGAAAAAAAAGAAAAGAAAAAGGGTATTCATTCAAGTTGGATAAAACTAAAATGAAGATTAATTCTACAGCATGTAACCAGCTAGATATACAAAAATTAAGAGTTGAAAAACACTGTATTATGGAGTACATATTAGAAAAAAACTTTTTCTCTCCCTGCTTTTGGATTACACCAGGCCTGTAAAGCTTAACAATTATACATTACCTGTCATTTTCTTTGAGGGGTGATGTATATTTGATGCAAGGAAATTGACCTTCATGCCCATAGCCCAAGCTGAGTGGAATTCAATAGCTGACAAATGTGGCAGAACATTCATCCAAGCTGTGGGAAACAGTATGGTGTCCACGTGGAAGTCTTTCACCAGGGTCACAGCAGGGTCGTGGAAGAGTATATCGAAGCATGTGAAAATGCCAAACCTTCCAAAGGGGGTGTTGAAAGTCACAATCTCAGGCTCCTTGGGTGCATTGAATTGTTCTTCACCCAAGAAAAGATTTTGCTGCAATAAACAGAAAATGAAGGCGGGAGAAATCTCTTTTTGGGTTGACTGGATGTCACTGTGTCTGAAAAGGTACAAGCGCATGTTGATTTGACTGTGCTAATTTCATCTATGACCCCTGACTTCATAGGGAAAGAGTGTTACAGAATCCAGGATTACTACAGTTACTAGGAGCCTTGGTTCAGTCTCCACATTTATAGATGTGTACAAGGGAATCCTTATCTGTTAAGACCTTGAATCTTCCAAGACATAAGAGTGAAACAGATAACGCATATTTGCCAAGAACACAACTATTTTCTGAGGATAAAGGGCTTTATTTGTTTCTTTCTTGTCAAAACCAAGTCTATCTGGTAAGGGTTTTTTTATTCTAGCCTTGAGCCATTGCCAGAGCATGTCTTTAAAAGGACAAAGTCCAAAAGGTGACATATTTCAGTGCAGATAGGTCCTACAGATTCGCACACACTCCCAACAACATACTCCTGTGTTCCTAAATGCACAGGAAACATTTTAAGACTCTGTAGGAGCTTCCCACACCTAATCATTACTTTCTATGCTTTGTCTCTACTCAGCTTCTAACGTATGCTTATTTTTATCAATAATAAGGATTTTTGCCCGGCTGGGTGTGGCTCAGCGGTTGAGCATTGACCTAGGATCTAGGTGATCGGGGTTCAATTCCCGGTCAGGGCACATGCCCGGGTTGTGGGCTAGGCAGCCGATCAGTGACTCTCTCATCATTGACGTTTCTATTTCTCTCTCCCCTTTNGAGCATTGACCTAGGACCTAGGTGATCGGGGTTCAATTCCCGGTCAGGGCACATGCCCGGGTTGTGGGCTAGGCAGCCGATCAGTGACTCTCTCATCATTGACGTTTCTATCTCTCTCTCCCCCTCTCCTTTCCTCTCTCTGAAATCAATAAAGATATATTTAAAAAATAATTATAATAATAAGGATTTCCCCCTCTTGTGCACTTGATTTTGTTACACACATAGTCACTGAATTGTTTGCATTTAATTCTACCTTATGGTAGCGTGCCACCAGTTTTCCTTGAGAGTCAAATACCACGTCAGTGTTGTATTGGTAACGGCCATCAGAGGGACACTGGAGGTCACTGGCATTGCACGGCTTCTTGTCCCCAATATTTGCCACGACGTAGATAGAGTTTTCCTTGGCCAGGCAGCTGAGTCTTTCTTGCACTGGAGTGTGGCCAAATCTGGTGTGTTATTAGTAGAGGAAAACAAAAACCAAGCTTAGCTTTTCATGAAATTCAGAATGATAGCAGCCTGAACCTATTATGTAATAAACACAAAAAATAAATTCTAAATAACGTAGGTAGAAGGGAAGGATTAGAACAAAAAGAGACTTCAGAAGAAGCACATGCTTACGAGGATTCATATGTAGGAAACTATTCTAGAGTAACATTCCAGGCCATGTATTTTTTCTTCATAGCATTTATCATTATCATCTATAGTCATATTCATTTATGCTAATTATATCACATATGTTAAGTCTTATAGATATTATGGGGCAAATACATACATCTCCTGTTTACTGAACCCATTTCTGACAGAAAAGAGGCATTAAAAAATTTTGGGGCCCTAGCCGTTTTGCTCAGTGGTTAGTGTTGGCCCACTGACCNACCCATTTCTGACAGAAAAGAGGCATTAAAAAATTTTGGGGCCCTAGCCGGTTTGGCTCAGTGGTTAGTGTTGGCCCACTGACTGAAGGGTCCCGGGTTCAATTCCAGCCAAGGGCAGGCTCAGTTGCAGGCTCAATCCCTGGCCCTAGTTGGGGCACATGCAGTAGGCAACTAACTGATGTGTCTCTCTCACATCAGTGTTTCTCTCTCCTCTCTCTCCCCCTTCCACTCTCTCTGAAAAGTCAGACCTCAGAATGTACGATATTTATCCATATTTATTTTGTATTGGCACAACACCAAAATAATAGAAAAAGGTTAATAATAAGTTATTGAAGAATAGCTAAGACTGGGAGAACTGGAGAGTAAATGAAAATGTGGTGCCATCTGCTGGCAGCAGTAATGAAAGCTTTCTTTTAGTATCACATCTAGACCATTAAATCTACAAATTGGAACAAAACCATAGCAGTCATCTACAAGACAAACATATCCTTGTAAAAGAGCAAAGATAGAAAAGCACATCTAAAAAATTATTAATGCATTTATATATGAGACTTTTGCTTCAATTATATATGAAATACACAGATATAAATACAACGCATTGAGCCACTTGGAATGTGTTTACCCCAAGTCTTTCCAGGTTACCTGAAGTGGTAGAATAGGTCCATGAAATAGAAGTGTGGTGTTTTGGATTTCTGAAACAGTCCTAATTACACATTTTTCTCCTGTCTCTATTAATCTTGAAAGTGCATTATATGTTCTGATATATTTCCATTTATACTACAGTTCTCAGACTGTTTGCTACAGCCAGAAAATACTCCAAAAATTCTTTGTTAAATCACATGTCCTGATTTGGAGTTTAAAAATGCATTTTGCTTATATGAGTCTGAAATCTGCCTGTCATTTAGTCCATAATATTTGCCAAGCCCTTAATGATGCACAGAGCTCTGTCCTAGTGCTATTGGGAACAGAAAGAGGTGAAACAGAACAATTAAAATGCATTTCCTAAGATTTATTTCAGCGTTCAACCTTAAAGTATAACAAAAAATCATTAATTACTGAAGAAGAGATCCGCTAACTTATAACAAGTGCACATTACATATTCAACAATTATTTCCTGAATTCTTACTACACAAAGCACCATGCTAGGTCTGTGAGCATCCAAGGAGAGGACATTCTGGGTGGAGCTGTCCAAGTGCACAGTGTGAAAGATACTGAAGTATAAGATATGGTGAGTGCACTTCAAAATCATTTCATTTTACTGGACAAACCACATATGCACACAAAACCCTGAACTATCAGTACAAACAATATGCAATCAAATAGCAAGATTCTTTTTCATACAAGTTAGCTAATTAGGCAAGCTTTTTAAAAAAAAACTTATTGAACTAATGACTGACTCTTTAATCTTTGAGCCAGGTCACCTTGATCATAGGTGCAGGCATTAACTGTATTAAAGGATATGCCTTATGCAAGAACTCCTACACGCTCACACAGTGGCATTCCTAGTACATAAGAAATAGTCGATGAAAAAATGTTGAATAAACAAATTTATCTTTGAGTTAGGTTATTGGACATTGGCTATCTCTCAAGAAATCTGTAAGCTTTCTTCTGCGAGGCAATGAAGGTTTCTGAGCCAAATTGTTTCTCTCTAAGCCTCCCAGGAACTCTCAGACCATACTGCATGTCCAATTGTAATTACCTGGCCACTACCATGGTGCCTTGTAACAACTACTTCCTCTCCCTTATTCAGGTGGCTTCAGTTTGCTTTTATATCTAAACTGTCTTATTTTTAAATTATGTATCAGATATTGTTTTGCTAATCTTAAAAGTAATAGTGCTACTTTTATCACACTTCATATTTCTTTAGACTAGACTTGGTTTAAACCATGTACACAGTTCTGCTATTTCACCTCCTTGGATGACACTTAGCTTAAAGTTTAAAGATTGCATATACATTAACCTCATCAACTATCTCATGGATGAAGAAGAAAAATTTTAAATTCTAAACTCTAAACTGACATGTGACTCTGTTTTGCTATCTACTCACACATTTTTCAAATTACAGACTCAGTAGGGGAACAATTTTCTCTTGACTAGTAAGAAGTCAGAAGATTAGAGTTTGGATCTGGTTCTTCCACTAACCAGCTACTCAGTGACTCTCCAGATTCAGTCCCTCAGTGGAAATTCACATTGAATCTGATGATTTCTATGCTACCTTCTAGCCCTGATTTCTGTGATTTTACAATACACATTTACTTTTCTATTAAGTTTCCAAATGAGAAGAAAAATAATAAAACTATCTTGAAACTTAGAGTTGATAGTTGATCTTGTGCAATGATCTGCAAAATTTTCCCAAGTGAAGAAAGCTCATGTTCATGATTGAATTTTTTATAGTCTGTCTTCTTACCTGTTGGGATGATTACAAGGGATCCAGTCCACTTGAGGGTCTGGGATATCTTCCAAGTATGGGTAGATAGATTCCCTGTTGAAGTTCCAGCCATAAATACCATCTTCTGGAGTCACAATAATATGTGCACCCTGTTAAAAATGTAGCTTAATTAAAATATTTCTCAAATAAGCAAACAATCAAAGAAGGGCCTGCAAGAGGCCCTCTGACTGGCTGACAAGCAACTATTCAATCTTATTCCTTTGTTTTCTATACTTTTATAATTTCTTTTTTTTTTTTTGCCTAACCACTTGCATTTTTGAATCTTAACATCATCCTTTATTTACAATTTTTTAATTTTTTGCTAAGCAGGAATAGCTTTCCAGGCTACTCACAAATTTGACATCCACTGCAGTTGTTAACTATAAACCTAGCTCTTCCCCAAATCATCCGCTCCCTGAACTTAGGCCGACTGTTGTGCCTGAGTGTGTGAGATTGCTTTATAACTCAAATTCTGTTTCACTTTTCCTCTGCCCCAGCCTTCCCTGCTTTATACTCTGCAAACATGATTCTTGCTTCTCAGAAGGAGGGGGCTTAGAGGTACAACTTGAGCTAACTTGCACACTTTTGGGTGGGGCAGTCATCCTGAAAGCTGATTTCTGTATGTATAAGAATGTATATTGATATAATATATGTATGTATCTTTGACTTTCGTGACACTTCACATATCCCTTTCTATACCTGATTTACAAATATCTTATTTAAACCATATTTGTTCAAATCACACACATAAACTTAACCTTTTATTGAACTCAGGTACTTACTATGCATTAACATATATACTTTTTACAAATTGGTAGTTACGGAACAGTCTCAAAGATGTAAATTATGGCATAGGGAATATAGTCAATAATATAATAGCTATTTATGGGCCAGGTGGGAACTTGAAATATTGGGGGGATCCCTCTGTAAAGTAACTGATTTCCTAACAACTATGCTGTACATCTGAAACTGATACAGAATATTGAATGTAAACTGTAAGTGATAAACTTTAAAAATAAAAAACAAAAAACATACATACTTTTATCTGTAACTAAAATGAAATATGAAGTATATAATATATACTGTTAATTAATTTTCAACTTAAGTTTGTTTAGGTATTATGAACTAACCCAAAAACCTGCACACTCTCAAGAGAACAAGTACACCAAGGCCACTAATACTCTAAAAATAGCACCGGGCCTCTGACCCATTTACCCTCCACCCTCCATCTATAGCAGAAAAGAGCAACAAAGTTGAATTTACAGCAAGTTCCCTAAAGGTCTGCTGCCCTGAATGATAACCAAGCCATTCTTTTCTTTGTTTCACTATTACCAAAGTAATAGTGTCCTTTTTCTGATAACTTGGGGAAGGAGATAGGACTCAGATTGTAAACCAAAAGTCCTTGGCTACCCTGATATATGTCGTCACCTACCTACCTAACACATACATAATTACATACACTGACACACGTGTAACTGACCCTGACAGTGACCCTGCTCTTGGGACCCCACTCTTTCTCTGTATAGAAGCGAGCACACTCAAGGGGTGGCACCTGTTTTGCTGCTGATATGATGGCTCCCTCCAAAAGATCCAGATTTTTGTTCATTAACACCAACGCCTCTTCCCGGGACACCGGCGTGAGGGCGGCATTAGGCAATATCACCGCGTGCTCGTACACAGCTGCGACAAAGGTGTCCAGGGTGCTGGCTTTTAAGACACAGAAAACTGAAACTGCCACACAAGCCAGCAGCTGAAAAGCAATCATGCTGAAGTCCAAGGAAAACAGAGCAAGTCCTAATATTTATAGAGAGAAACTACAATAAGTCACATGGTTCTCAGAACTTAGTACTTTAAAAACAAATCACAACATCTAACATTAAGAAAATATTATGGCTTTACATCATAGATATAATGTAAACACGTTTTATATAACACTCCTTACTGCGTCCTGAGGGCTGTGAGGAGAGGATTAATTATTCAAGCTTCTTGCTGTGTAGATGGCTGTCTTCTCCTTGTGTGTGTGTGTGTGTGTGTGTGTGTGTGTGTGTGTGTGTGTGTGTGTGTGTGAGAGAGAGAGAGAGATAAACATCAGTACGTTGATTGGCTGCCTCCTGCCTCATGGGTCAACTACTGGGCAACGCCTCCCAGGCAATAAGGTCACATTCTAAAGTACAGGTGGTTAGGACTTAAACCTATAAAGTCTTAGAATTCATGTTTTATTTTTATTTATTTATGTATGTATGTATGTATGTATGTATTTATTTTAATCTTCATCAGAGGATATTTTTTCCATTGCTTTTCAGAGAGAGTGGAAGGGGCTGGGGATGGGGCCTGCAACCGAGGTATGTGCCCTTGGCTGGAATTGAACCCAGGGCCCTTCAGTCCATGGACTGACAATGTAACCACTGAGCAAAACTGGTCAGGGCAGAATTCATGTTTTAGAACTTCAGTGCATAGCAGTATATGCAAATAATTTGAAGAATAAATAGCTTGACAATTTTGGTATTAGTACTGATAGGGCCACTTGTGATTTCCAAAGGTTGAGCACCTGAATACTTGTGATATTATAGGACACATACACTTATGTAAGCAAGGATTTAAGTTTTTTTTCCTTAAGCTTCTTTCTCCTAGGCCTTTGCACACTACACTCCCCTTGATCCCAGACTGAAGAAATTAAGGAAGTGGTACAGCTGTGAACGATGGGTTAAGATATCACTTCATGGAGACATCCCCAGGCCACCAAGGTCAAAAGAATGATTTCCAGGACTGCACGTAGCTGCCCTCCATTCCCAGCTCCAGGTTGCCCCATATAACCCGATCCCTCAGGCCCCTCCTGAAGACAGGTTTTGGATGCTCGAATGCTCCCTGTCTTCTTGGTTGGCCAGCCTTCTCAATAAACACCTTATAGGATTCAACCCTGCCTCCGTATACAGTGACAAAGCAGCTCAAGCCCCACCAGGGTTTCCCAGTAACACTATTACTATTATCATCTGAATATTTAAATGCTATCCTTTATTCACTTTAGTTTCCTCAAAATGGGGAAGCCAGGTTGAAGAGGAAGACAAAGGGTCATTGCTATGTAAAAACCACCTTAAAATTTAGTGGCTTTGGACAACAAGCATGTACTATTTCACATTTCCTATGGGTCAGGAATCTCTGGCAGCTCAGTTGGGTGCCTCTTTCACAAGACTGCAATCAGGCTGCAGGCCTGGGCTGGGACAGGATTCCCTCCTAAGCTCCCGGCTCACTCCCATGGCTGAGGGCAAGCCTCAGGTCCCCATTGACTTGTGGCCCAGAGATGTGAGTTCCTTGCTTCAGGTCTTGCTAAAAGACAGCTCATATTATTGTACTCAGCTTCCCTCAGAGCCAGAGAGCAAAAGAACCCTCCCAAGACAGAAGCCACAGTCTCTTAGTTAATCTAATGTGGGAAGTGTCATCACTTCAGTTGCATTCTACTCCTTAAAATCAAGTCAGTAGGTCCAGCCCACACTTGACAGAAGGTGATTACACAAGGACAAGAGTGAGGCAGTGGTCACTGGGGACTATCTTAGAGGCTGCAAGGCTGCAGACCTTCGGGTTAATAGGGAAGTAGAAACAATGTAAGAGAGAAATAGAGGCAGACTGAAGAGAGAGTAATAAAACATAGAAAAAAGCGTATAGACTTTGATATGGAATAAGAAGGCAAATTTTGTTTCAGTTGCAAAGTATAATATTTTTATATTTACAGAACTACAGTTATGATTATCCATTTTATTTTGGATAGTGTTTAAAAATTAGAGTTCAACTTGCAAATGGGTATGTCTGATTTTTTACTTCAGTGCTATAATAAATTTATTCTGTGGCTACCAAAGTAACCAAGAGGCTGTGATTGCCCAGCCCTCCACTTGCTGACCTCCTTTTGGTTTTCCATTCCCAGGTGGGTGGGGATCCACATACTTCACCGTGAGGTGTAATTGTTACCTAATCTATAAAAGGAAGGTCTGAAATAAAAGTTAAACTGAAGTGAGTTACCAATAGATTTAAAAACTTACTTGTTTGACATATTAAGTTAAAAATATTAAATAAGTCTGGCTGGTATTGTCCAGTGGTTGAGTGTCGACCTTTGAAACAGAAGGTCACCGTTCAATTTCTGGTCAGGGTGCATGCCTAGGTTTCAGGCTGAATCCCCAGGTTTCAGGCTGAATCCCCAGTGGGAAGTATGCAGGAGAAAGTCGATCAATGACTCTCATCAATGATGTTTCTATCTCTCTCTCCCTCTCCCTTCCTGTCTCTGAAATAAAAACATATTTAAAATAATAATAAATAAGAAGCTCCTTTTGGTTACCAGTCTTACATATAAAGAGCTTGAAAAGTCATCTCTCCCATCTTCACAAGAAAAAAGCTGAACAACTGAAAATCAATACTTTCTCTTAGATACAGCAGAGAATTGAGGTCATAGGACAAATCACTGCCCCAAAATTAGAGCAACGGGCTTACCTGGAGCAGAAGTCCACTACTGGCACCAGTACTGATGTCAACATAAAAATGTTCAAACCTGTAGAGAATTTTTATAGGCGTTTGTTTGTTTGGTTTTTAGCCAAACTGATGACAATGGCTGGGAAGCAAGATCTCAAATGCTCTGGAGAATGACAGTTTTGCAGTTTTTAAAAATGCATTTGGAATTAAGGAGGGACTATACGGAAGAGTAGGTGGTGAGAGAAAGCAAGGCAGGGATTGGATTACAGGAGAGTTAACAAGGTCATGTGCTCCCTTGAGGGCGGTTTTCTTGTGGCCTTCCAGGCAGGTACTAGCCAAGTCTGAAAGGAGGCATTTCAAAGGCTTGTTCACCTAGATTCACAGAAACAATGGACAGATCATCCTTAAGGTAAGGCATGACTACTCACCATGACCTGCCCAGGTAGAAATTGGTGATCAAATCACACGGTAAAGCCAGTAAAACAGGCCTTTCTTTTTCTTTGCTGTGGCCTTCCACAATTTATGAGAGGCACCTGGTAATTAAGCCCCAAGATTGATGGCTCCTCTCATTCAAACAGCCCCTGGGTTCAAACTGCAGAGAAGATAAGCTGCTCCCAAGGCTACATTCTTACATCTCCCTCCTCCCTGCTGTTTTCACAGCTCAGGGGTGGGATAATTGCCTAGGAGTCTCTAGTTAGTATGGAGTTCCTCCCCCTCCCCTTCAAACAAGCTTCTTGAGCTCTTTATAACTTTTGCTCTAAGCATGTTTAGTGGGTTTGGGGAAAATACTGATAAGACTTTGCATAAATGCATAACCCATGGATAGAGGTAATGGTACGGGGAAGGCCTGGGGGGTGTTGATGTGGGGTGGAGGGGGTAAATGGGAGAGAAAAGGGGACATCTGTAATATTTTCAACAATAAAGATAAATTTAAAAAGAGAAAGAAAAAAAAAGACACTTCCCTAGGACATTTGCCGGACTATCTCCTGGAAAGCAAACAAAGTATAACTTTTCAAGACAACCTTCCAGGTACCTACTCAACTTCAAGACAACCCAAACTCCTCCCTTCTTTGTCGCCCAGCATGCCTAAAAGCAGGCTGGCCCCTTTGTTTCCCGCCCTTGTATTATTAGCAATGCACCTGTCCTTTTCCAGTCGTGGGGAAAGTAAAATAAACTTTCATTCCGCATCTCTCCTTTTAGTTGTGAAATCTCTCACAGGCTGTATCACTGGTCCCAAACCCTGACATACCCTGAGATTACTTTCCGTAGAGCTTTTTCACCCACGCTGGCATGACCAGTTCAATTGCCGTTGATGAATTGTTAGAGACACAGTGTGGATAAAGTTCAGAGTTAAAAACTAGGGCAATTCAGTGTCAGGAAAGCTCTCACACTTCTGTGAGTTTCACCTCCAAGAACTCCAACGGATTCTCTGGGCAAACACTGAGGGGAAAAACACCACCTCTGTCCACACCGTTTCTAATGAAGAGAAAACCCAGCTTTGAGTGAGCCCCGAGTATTTTGTTCATCCTATCAAAAGCCCGCCCTCAAGGGAAGCTATTTACCAGAGCCTAACCTATTTGGGGAACAGAAAAACCTCAACTCTAACCCCCCGGGCCTCCAGTCTCAACTAAGGGGAAAAGTAAAAAGGCCGGGAAGGACTTGCAAAGGTCACAGCCCAGGGGCACTGGCTCACTACAAGACAGACTTAATCACTGGTCTTTGTCCCCCTGCCGCTGGCCTCACATTTTAGGCCTACCTTGCTCGTCCCAGCCAAGAGAAAGCCTTCAGGTGGACAGCTGCAGTTTTGCAGAGGAATGCTTTGAGGGGGAGCCCAAGCTGGGTTTTAAAGGCTGGGCGTTTAGGAGAGGTCTTAGGGGAGGAACGGTAGAATATTCGTCAGCTTTATGCTGATTTACCAAAATGAGGTTTATTCTCTTAACTTCACCTGTCCTTGGGTGTGGTTGGCAAATGGCATAATTGGATTTCTGCTATCTGTCTCCCTAGAGTAGGGCGATTTAAGCTACTTACCCTCTGGTTGGGGGTTGGGGGGGGGGAATGCAAACCATTTCCTCTTAAGTGTCCTGGGTTCAGGGAAGACAGGATTTACTTGTTGGCCGCAAATAGCTGTTTAACTGTCTCCGTTTCCCTATTCCACTTGTCCTGGCTTACTAGCCTATCTCAAAAGGAGCTGCAGCCTGGGAGACACAGATTCAGGTAGCAACCTAACTTGTGTTCCCAAGACATAGGGGAGGCCTCCTTTTATAGCTTCCAGTCCACGTTCTCAATTAGATCCATTATGTAAATGAGTTATCCAAACTATGCAGTTTTTATTGGACAGGGCAGGTCTCAATTCAGTGTAAGGGTGCATAAACTTCATTTCTTTTTTTTATTTTTATTCTTTATTTATTTTTTATATCTATTGATTTCAGAGAGAGGAAAGGAGAGGGAGAGAGAGACAGAAACATCAGTGATGAGAGAGGCATTGATCGAGCCCACAACCCGGGCATGTGCCCTGACTGGGAATCGAACCCTGATCGCCTGGATCCTAGGTCGATGTTCAACCGCTGAGCCACACCCGGCCGGGCTAAACTTCATTTCTTTAACATGAACCTTTCTTCCTTCTGTCCTCTCCTTAATCATTAAGCCCTTAGACATTAGATTCTGGTCAGTATCAAACTATTTTAGGAACAAAGCCTCAGGTCTGTAGACCACAGCAACAGAGTGTTGGTCAAGCTAAAGATAACATCTTGACTTCAATTGTGTTTCAGCCAGAGGCCCATGAAAGGTAACTAGCCCTACTGATCACACACTCCTGAAGCCTGACAGAACAATGCCGTGGCTGACAGCGGGGCCTGATACAATGATCAGCTATTCCCTACCCCGGCCCATCCAATAGTAAAGACCATGACTCCAACTCCTTTAGCCACCATGATTAATGATTTTTCCCCTGTATTCTTTCCCCTGGAAGCCATTGGGAAGCCAGGCCTTTGAGCACTATTTACCTGTGACCCCAGGCTTGGTGCCATTTCCTCAACTAATAAACCCTTACCTTCTTGGCTGCAAACTCCTGTTCCTGTTTAATTAAGCTCTGATACATGCAAAGATCCCTTTAGTCTGATAACAGCAGCCAGAAAAATTAAGAGAAAAAGAGGAAAGTTTTCCCATCTCCAACATAAGATATATATTTTTGCTATAGGACTCAATAAAACTATTTTTGTTTTGTTTTTAATGTAGCCTCTAATCATTATGACACAGCCTGAACTGATTCTCATGAAAAAAAATTTCTTTGCTCACCTATAAAATATGCTCTATTGCCTTACAAATACTAGTTGAAGCTGTAAGAATGAATGGCTTCATTCTTCTTTTTTAAAATAAATATATATGCATATATATATATAATTTTATTTTTATTGATTTTAGAGAGAGAGAAAGGGAGAGGGAGAGAGAGAGAGAAACATTGATTGGCTGCTTCCTGCACATCCCCTACTGGGGATCGAGCCCACAACCCCCAGCACGTGCCCTGACTGGGAATCGAAACTGAACTCTTGGTGCGTGGGATGACTCTCAATCCACTGAGCCACACTGACCGGGCTGAATGGCTTCAATTTTCAAAGAAAGAACTTTGTGCACACAGCTCTTTTAAAAACTTCATTTGTTGTTTCAGCAAATTTATTGACATCCCTTACAAACACACATTAAGGCCTCTCTTTTTTTCTCCGTCTTTGCCAGGCTAATCCTGAAAGGGGGCGTGTAAAAAAGGATCATTGTAATTTCCCTGGTCCCTGCCCTAAGCGTGGAGGGTCCTTCTCGAACACTCTTCCATACAGAGCCGTAACTAAGATGGGCAAAGAGGCTCCACTTCTGCTCTTCAGACGTCCATCTCTTGAAACCTGATCAAAGAAAACGAAGGATTAACTCCCAAGCAGAGTTTGGTTTCCAGCCCACATGCCTTCTCTGACAACATCACTCTAAAGCAGCATGAAATAATAAAAACACACAGGATTTGGTGCCAGACGACCACTTTCGGGTCTAACAGCAGAGGAACCTTGGGAGAAAATGCAGCAAATAAATCTATTGGACAGGGGTTAAATAAGGTAATGTATAAAGTGAGTTATTTTAACTCATGAAACACTATGGAGAGTATTAATTATTTCGATCACTGTAACAACTCAAAATAACACACCCATGCAGTAAGTTGTGGAATTAGAGGCAAAGAAATGTGGACTTGGAGAAGTCTGGGGCCAGCTTGCTCCCTGTAGCCTCAAGATCAACCGAGAGAGAGAGAGAGAGAGAAAGAGAGAGGAAGGAAGAAAGGAAGGAAGGAAGGAAGGGAGGAAGGAAGGAAGGAAGGAAGGAAGGAAGGAAGGAAGG